TGTGTTATCAGTTTTTTCTTGTGGAGGCCCTGCAGGATTCTATAAATTTTTTATATGAGACCCTTGTCTGAAATGATATGCCAAATGTTTTTTTCCCAGTTAGTAGGTTTTATTTTCACTCTGTTTGAAAAAGTTTTTGATGCGCACAGGGATTTAATTTTTAGAAGGTCCCATTCATCAATTTTATCTTCTCCAGATTGTGCATTTCTGGCTGTATTGGTCAGTCTCTTTATACCATAGACTAGGCAATCTGGAGTGAAAAACAATGTATACGAACTTTGGAAGTAAACCGGTATAAAATAAAAGTTTTACTTTTGAAAAACCTCATCAGAGGCCTATACTTATGAGCTAAAATTATCAGAGTAAAAGAACCAGGGTGGTGGGGGGAGAGACCTCTCCAAGGTGTTAAGAAGCATGGTATCAGTTTAAAAACTAAGGTGAATTTGATTCAAGGCATGGTATTTTCAATTACCTGTTGTGCATCTGAAAGTTGGACAATGAATAAGGATGGCAGAAGACTTGATGCCTTTGAACTGTGGTGTTGGAGAAGTGTAGAGAATATCCTATGGAGTGTCAAAAGAACAAAAAAACTTGTCTTGGAGAAAGTGAACCAGGGTGCTCCTGAGAGGCAAGGATGGCAAAACATCCATTTAAGATGCTCAGGACATGTTAGAAGGGGTGAGTCCTTGGAAGGGGACGTCATGCTTGGAAAGGTCTGCAACAAAACATAAAAGGTCCTTAGGCAACAATAACTGTAACAATGGGCTCAATTATGTCAGCGATGATGAGGATGGGATAGGACAGGACAGGTTCAGATCAATTGTTCATAAGGTTGCTATGATTTGTAGTCAACTTGAGGGCACCTAACACCAACCACACGAACATGGGAAAAGTCCTTCCACGGCTCATCTCTTCGTTGGTCATTAGTATTTAATGCATCAAATCTGTTTTTGATGTAGTTTGTAAGTTCAGGTGATGCATAAATTTTAACAACAGTCAAATTAACAGCCTTTCCATGTATGAGTATTGATATTATCCTGTCACTAACAGCATTGCACTTCAGGATAGATCCTGAAATGATCTGATGATGAAGATATCACCTCTTCCTCTGTCAAGTCTGAACTGACTCAGCACCTCCATTAGGGTTTCAAGATTAATTCACACTGGAAATGACCCATCTTTCTCCCAAATATTCAAACTACCAGACTACAGAGTATGCCATTAGAGCTCCTTGAATACAATTCCTTCCTCCTGTCACTGGACCAATGATACGTTCCAGCACAGTAGACCATATGATTTTCCAATTTCAGTCCATTTTGTTGATTTTTATGTATTTCATTTTCTTTTTCACAATTTCCAGTTTTCCCATTTATATTTCATATTTACCATGTTACAATTGATGGTTATTTGCAGCTATTTGTCCTCATTTTGAGTTCTAGCACATCAAATTAAGGCTATTCATTGGATGAATGCTCTATTCCCTCTGCATCCTACTTTGAGGTGGTAGCCCTTCCTGAACCATATTTCTGAGTGCCTTCCAGCCTCAGGGCCTCATCTTCTGGCACCATATCAGACAGTGTTCTGCTGCTACTCAAAAGTGGTGCCATAACTTCCAGCATCATAAAAATTCACATGCCAGAGAGGTGAGTAAAGGAAGTGGGGAAGATCTGGTGGGGATCTGGAAAGACAGGGTAACCATAGTTATAGTTAAGTGTTGATTAATTTTATAGAATGTAATAAATGAGAACAACATATCAGCAGAGAACTGCCAGAGGTCCAGGCTGGGTTTAGAAGGGGTCATGGTACAAGGGATATTGTAGCTGATGTTAGATGGATCTTAGCTGAAAGCAGGGAATACCAGAAGAATGTCTGTGTTTCATTGATTATTTGACTGTATGGATCATAACAAACTGTGGCTGACTCTGAGAAGAATAGGAATCCCAGAACACTTGATCGTGCTAATGAGAAACCTATACTTGGACCAAGAGGCGGTCGTCAGAACAGAGCAGGGTAACATTGCATGGTTAAAAATTGGGAAGGGTGTATGCCAGGGATGTGTCCTATCGCCATACCTTTTCAACCTGTATGCAGAGCAGATTATCCGAGAGGCTGGGCTGTATGAGGAGAAGTGTGGCGTCAGGATTGGTGGAAGATCTATCAACAATCTGCGATATGCAGATGACACAACCCTGCTTGCTAAAACGGAGAAGGACCTCATGCACTTGCTGCAGAGGGTCAAGGACTGCAGCCTTCAGTATGGACTGAGGCTCAATGTCAAGAAGACAAAGATTCTCACCACTGAACCAATTGGTAGCATCAGGATGGATGGCGAAGAGATTGAGATTGTTCACAGCTTCAGTTTGCTCGGCTCCACAGTCAACACTCTTGGCACCAGCAGCCAGGAAATCAAGAAACATATTGTGATGGGAAAGTCTGCTGTTAGGGACCTCTCTAAAGTACTCAAGAGCAATGGTGTCTCTCTGGAGACTAAGATGTGCCTGATACAGGCCTTGGTCTTTGCAGTCACTTATTATGCATCGGAGAGTTGGACAATGACTAGGGAGGATAGAAAGAGAAATGATACCTTTGAGCTTTGGTGCTGAAGAAAAGTATTGAATGTACTATGGACTGCCAAGAAAACAGATTTATCCTAGAGAGGGTTAAACCAGGCTACTCCTTGGAGGTAAGGATTCTGGGCCTTCGTCTGACATACTTTGGACATGTAAGGAGAGACAGGTCCTTGGAGAGGGACATCATGCTTGGTAGGGTGGAGAGACAGCGCAGGAGGGCAAGACCATCTATGAGGTGGATTGATTCAGTGATTGGGGTAATCGGGATGGGTGTGTCAGATGCAATGCGATTGGCACAGGATAGAGCAGGGTTTTTTTTTTGTTTGTTTGTTTTTTTGTTTTTTAGAGCAGGGTTTAGGGCTGTTGTACATAGGGTCGCTATGAGTCGCAAACGACTCAACGGCACATAACAACAACAACAACAGTGAATGAGAATGACTGCATGAAACACAACGTGAATGAAGGATAGTGTGAAACATAATTAAGCCACCACCACCACCACAACAACAAAGAAACAAGCCAACACAGTAAGACACACAAGTTGTGGATAAGCACGGTAGGTCTTGATAATGTGTTTTTCATTAAAAACCATTTTAATCCAGGCCATAGTTAAGAAAATATTTTCTTAAATGCCATACTAATTATTCCAGAGGAAACAATCTTGCTTGCTGAAGATGAGGATGACTTGAAATGCTTGCTGGAGAAGATCAAAGACTATAGCATTCAATACAGATTACGTCTCAAAACTAAGAAGGCAAAAATCCTCATCACTGGACTGACAAACAACATCATGACAGATGGAAAAAACCCTGAAATTGTCAACCATTCATCATACTTGGATTCACAATCAACACCTTTCATACCATCAGTCAGGAGATCAGGAGACACTGCATTGTGCAAGTCCTCTGTCAGGGACCTCTGCAAATTACTGAGGAGCAGGGATGTCAGTTTGAAGGCTAGCATGCTCATGATTCAGTCTTTTCCATCACTTGCTGTTCATCTGAGAGCAGGACAATGAGTAAGGATGAGAGTTGATGCCTTTGAGTTGAGTTGGAGGAGTGCTGAATGGACTGCCAAATGAACACACAGATACATCTTGGGAAAAGTGTATGCGCAGTGTTCGTTGGAGGCAAGCATAATGAAGCTTTGCTAAGAGAGGCTATTCCTTGGAAAAGGACATTATGTTTGAAAAGATGGAGGGTTAGTGAAAGAGAGGAAGATCCTCAATGTGATGGATTCACACAGTGACTGCAGCAGTGGGAGATAATAGAGATTGTACTGGATAAGATAGGGTTTCAGACCCAAAATCTCTGTAAATGTTCACTAAAACTAATAAAATTTAATAATGATTTAAAAAAATTGGGTTTCAGGTCTGTTGTTTATAGGGTCACTATAAGTTGTTTTCAACTAAATGGCACCTAAAAACAAAATTAATTTCTACTGCAAGTAGAGTATATTAGTTTCTTTTACATTAGTTTCTAAAGTTTGAAAGTTAAAAAAAAATAAGTTTTAAAATAAGGACTTTAAAAACCTTATGTTGGATCAGAAACTAAGAATTAAATGGGAACTTCTTGTATCTAGAAAAGATCACAGAGAAGCTCAGAATTTAAAGTGGTTTTCTAATGTTGGTAGAAAAGTTGGTACCTCATACTGAGAATCCATTAAGGTGTTGAAAAAGAAATAATTTTGCACTTTTAATCATTTTTTAGGGAGATGATTCCCAAATCAACTCATTTTTCTAAAATGGGTATACTTCACATTTTACATGCATTTAGAGACAATTATCATTGAGTCTATGTAGTACAATAGGCAGACAATTCCACATGTGATATTAAAACTTTCTGGCTAGGTATTTTAGATTCCTGGCAGGGCTGATTTATAGAAGTACAAAGGTTCATAGAAACAATAATTGTATATTGGCTCTAGATAATTTATTGCTCAAGGAAACTTAATATAATAACCTGTCCTGTAATAAAAAGTTTCTTGCATAATCTGGAAATTTTTTTCTGCTGCAAAGGTTTATGAGAGACTTCAAAGCCAAAAGAATAAACAAGAAAACACTTTTTTTGGTTTTTTTTTTTTAAGAAAACACTTTAAACAACTAAACCTAGAATCTTTTCATGTTACTTAAAGACACACTATATTTTTCAAATGGCATTTAAATTACTTCAGACCACTACAAATATCTTCAGAACATGTATATCATGGCAATATAAGACTTAGTAGTTACCAGTTCTTGAGAAAATAAGAGTTAAAAGAATAGGTAAAACATAAGAGCTGAAGAGAAAAAAAAATTTCATTTTCAAAGGAATTCTTAGGAAATATAAAATTACTACCTAAAATAAATCACCCCTTCTTCACCAATAATGCAGGTACTTTCACATGCACATGATGGTTCCTCAGAAAACCTTCAGTGTACGATTCTCTTTCTTATATCAAAGGCATTGTGATGATTAAGATAGCTCTTTCTTTAAAAAATTTTGCTGTAGTCCTTTCAGTATCAACAGGTTCGGGAAGATTGAGATGTAATCTGTACTTATCAGAGGCCTCAATCAATAAATCATCCTAAGAAGAAACCAAAAAATATTTCCAGTTAAACTTTTTTTATAAGTATAAATGCCATTTTATTTTCTTTTGGATTAGTTTTTTTTCTTCAGCCTTTAAGGAAATCAAGTCCTTATGAGGATTTTGGTGGAGGTTGCGGCACAGCACCTGCACATCTAAATCTTCATGGAGGAGTTCTGTCCTTCAGTTCCTCACCACCTTGCTGTGAATGGCACAACTCACACAATAGTGCAGTTTCACATACAGATTGGGAAGCATGAATGTGTAGAAGACATTCGTTTTGGAAATGTATCTGATGGCAGCCTCCTCTACTATATTTTGAATTACCAACTTCTTTAAGGCCATAAAAATATGTTTATTGGCAATATGAGTACTAAACAATCACATGAGAGATTAGGAGTAGCTGTAAAGAAAACTATGCATAAATATAAACTGGTTGCTAGAGGAGCATTGTGGGCTGTGCTGTAGGAGTCCACGTAGAGCTAGCTTCCTTCTAGCAGTCCAGGGAGAGAGACCCTGCATGGGTTAGGCTGCTGGGTGAGGTCGGGATAATGAAGCTTGAAGGTGGACAGTAGATCAAGTCAAGAGAATGTTGAGTCAGAACCAACCCAGAGCTGACCTTTCAGCGTGTTTTCTGAGGCAATTAATCACATAGGAGGAGATTGCCCATCCTTATCCCTCAGAGCAGCTGGAGGCCTCCCTTCTCAGAGCAGCTGCTGGACTGGAACCACTGTCTTTGGGATTGCAGTGCAGCTTCCTGCCACTAGGACACCAGAGCTCCCCGGTAGCCAAGAGAATATTGTTGTTGTTGTTGTTGTTGTTGTTATGTGCCATCGAGTCTCTTGCAGCTCATAGCAACCCTATGTAAAAGAGCCCTAAATGCCATTCTGTCCTGTGCCAACCAGCCTCGCCAACTCAAACACTCAATTCCCCCACTCCACTCACAGAATCGATCCATCTCACAGAGGGTCTTCCTCTCCTGCGCCGTCCCTCCATTCTCCCAAACATGATGTCCCTCTCCAAGGACCAGTCCCTCCTTGCAACATGCCCAAACTATGTCAGAAGAAGCCTCAGAATCCTTGACTTCAAGGAGCATTCTGGCTTCACCCTCTCCAGAACAGACCTGTTTGTTCTCCTAGCAGCCCATGGTATATTCAACACTCTTCTCCAACACCACACCTCAAAGGCTTCAATTCTCTTTCTGTCATCCCTATTCACTGTCCAACTCTCTGATGCATAGTATGTAATTGGGAAGACTATAGCCCGGATCAGGTGCACCTTAGTCTCCAAACTGACGTCATTGCTCTTCAGTACTCTTGAGAGGTCACTCACAGCTGACTTTCCCTGTGCAATTCATCTCCTGATTTCCTGGCTGCTGTTACCAAGAGTGTTGACTGTGGAACCAAGTAAACTAAAACTGTTAAAGGTCTCAATCTCTTCACCATCCATATTGATGCTGCCAATTGGCCCAGTGGTGAGAATCTTTGTCTTCTTGATTTTGAGCTTCAATCCATTTTGAAGACTGCAGTCTTTGACCTTCTGCAGCAAGTGCTTCAGGTCCTCCTTAGTTTCAGCAAGCAGGGTTGTGTCATCCGCATAACGCAGGTTGTTGATGATTCTTCCACCAATCCTGATGCCACATTCCTCCTCATACACCCCAGCGTCTCGGATGATCTGTTCTGCATACAGATTGAAAAAGTATGGAGACAAAATACATCCCTGACAGACCCCCTTCCTGATTTTGAACCATCCAGTGTCTCCCTACTCTGTTCTGATGACTGCCTCTTAGTCCAAGTATAGGTTTCACATTGTTGTTGTTATGTGCTGTCGAGTCACTTGCGACTCATAGAGACCCTATGTACAACAACAGCCCTAAACTCTGTTGTCCTGTGCCAATCGCACCCTCTCTGATACATGCATCCCGATTACCCCAGTCACTGAATCAATCCACCTCATAGAGGGCCTTCCTCTCCTGCGCTGTCCCTCCACCCTACCAAGCATGATGTCCCTTCCCAAGGACTGGTCCTTACTTAGAACATGTCCAAAGTATGTTAGACGGAGCCTCAGAATCCTTGCCTCCAAGGAGCCGCCCGGTTTAACCCTTTCCGGGATGAATCTGTTTGTTTTCCTAGCAGTCCATGGTACCCTTAATACTCTTCTCCAGCATCACAGCTCAAAGGCATCAATTCTCCATCTATCCTCCTTAGTCACTGTCCAACTCTCTGATGCATAACAAGTGATCACAAAGACAATGGCCTGTATCAGACGCACCTTAGTCTCCAGGGAAACACCATTGCTCTTCAGTACTTTGGAGAGGTCCCTAACAGCAGACTTTCCCATGGCAATGCACCTTTTAATTTCCTGGCTACTGGTGCCAAGAGTGTTGACTGTGGAGCCAAGCAAACTAAAGCTGTGAACAATCTCAATCTCTTCACCATCCATGCTGATGCTGCCAATTGGCCCAGTGGTGAGAATCTTTGTCTTCTTGACATTGAGCCTCAATCCATATTGGAGGCTGCAGTCCTTGACCCTCTGCAGCAAGCGCTTCAGGTCCTCCTCAGTTTCAGCAAGCAGGGTTGTGCCATCTGCATATCGCAGATTGTTGATAGATCTTCCACCAATCTTGACCCCACTTTTCTCCTCATAGAGTCCAGCCTTCCGGATAATCTGTTCTGCATACAAGTTGAAAAGGTATGGAGACAGGACACATCCCTGGTATACGCCCTTCCTAATTTTGAACCATGCAGTGTTTCCTTGCGCTGTTCTGATGACTGCCTCTTGATTCAAGTATAGGTTTCTCATTAGCACGATCAAGTTAGCACAATCAAATGTTCTGGGATTCCCATTCTTCTCAGAGTCAGCCATAGCTTGTTGTGATCCACACAGTCAAAAGCCTTTGCATAGTCAATGAAGCACAGATACACATTCTTCTGGTATTCTCTACTTTCTGCCAAGATCCATCTTACATTAGCTATAATATCCATAGTACCACGATCTCTTCTAAATCCATCCTGCACATCTGGCAGTTCTCTGTTGACATTGTTCCAAACGTTTTTGGATCATTTTCAGCAGAATCTTGCTTGCATGTGATATGATATTGTTCAATAATTTCCACACTCTGTTGGGTCACCTTTCTTTGGAATGGGAACAAATATCGATCTCTTCCAGTCACTTGGCCAGCTGGCTGTCCTCCAGATTTCCTGGCACAACTTAGCACATCCAGGGCAGCGTCTGTTTGTTGAAATAAATCAATTCGTAGGCTGTCAATTCCTGGAGCCTTATTTTTAGCCAATTCCTTCAGAGCAACTTGGAGGTCCTTGTTTGTCAAACATTCTTCCAAGCCTATTGCATTGTTTGAAATGTCACTTCATCCAGGTATTGGATTACTAACTTCTTGATTGCCTTGTCTTTGGGCACACAGCTGGCACAGTTTGTGCAGCAAATAGGCTGCATGTGGCTGTGGCCCTTTTTGGCACGACCGTTGTTTCTCTTTTGTCATCTCGGAAGCAAGGAATCAATTCCATTTAAACTTTATATTATATTGGATTACTATGGCAGCAATTAAATTCTTTTCTTATAAGAAGAGCCTACTTACTGTTTTGTGACTCACAATGAGGCTGCAATGAAGTTGGCTGGTATTACTGTAAGTTGTTGTTGTTATGTGCCATTGAGTTGCTTGTGACTCCTAGTGACCCTGTTTACAACAGCCCTAAACCCTGCTCTATCTTGTGCCAACCTCACTGTCTCTGACACACCTACTCCCACTACCCCAATCACTGAATCTATCCATTTCATCCATTTCTCTCTTGTGCTGTCCCTCCACCTCCCAAACATGATGTCCCTCTTCAAGAACTGGTCCCTCCTTGCAACATGCCAAAAGTATGTCAGACAAAGCTTCAGTGTCCTTGCCCGGTTTTACCCTCTCCAGGACGAACCTGTTTGTTCTAGCAGCCTATGGTATATTCAACACTCTTCTCCAGCACCAAAGCTCAAAGACATCAATACTTTTTCTATCATCCCTAGTCACTGTCCAACTCTCTGATGCATAGCACACAAGTGTGAAGACTATGGCCCAGATTGGGTGCACCTTAGTCTCCAGCATGAAGCCATTGCTCTTCAGTACTCTGGAGAGGTCACTGACAGCTGACTTTTCCAATGCAATTCGTCTCTTGATTTCCTGGCTGCTGGTACCAAGAATGTTGATTATGGAACCAAACTAAAACTGTTAATAACCTCAATCTCTTCACCATCCATAATTAATGCTGCCAATTGGCCCAGTGGGGAGAATCTTTGTTTTCTTGATTTTGAGCTTCAATCATATTGAAGGCTGCAGTCCTTGACCTTCTGCAGCAAATGCTTCTGGTCCTCCTCAATTTCAGAACGCAGGGTTGTGTCATCTGCATAATTCAGGTTGTTGATGAATCTTTCTCCAATCCTGATGCCACATTCTTCCTCATACAGACCAGCGTCTCGGATGATCTGTTCTGCATACAGATTGAAAACATATGGAGACAGAACCCCCTTCCCAATTTTGAACCATGTAGTGTCTCATTGGTCTGTTTGAAGACTGCCTCCTGGTTCAAGTATAGGTTTCGCATTAGCACGATCAAGTGTTCTGGGATCCCCATTCTTCTCAGAATCAACCACAGTTTGTTGTGATCTACACAGTCAAATGCCTTTGCACAGTTAATGAAACACAGATAAGACATTCCTCTGGTACTCTGCTTTCTGCCAAGATCCACCTAACATTAGCTATAATATCCCTAGTACCACAGCCTCACCTAAACCTAGCCTGCACATCTGGTAGTTCTCTGTTGACGTGTTGCTCCAGTCATTTTTGGATAATTTTCAGCAGAATCTTGCTTTTATGTTGATATTAATGAAATTGTTCAATGATTTCTGCACTCTTTCAGGTCACCATTCTTTGGAATGGGAATAAATATAGATCTCTTCCAGTTAGATGGCCAGGTGGCTGTCCTCCAGATTTCTTGGCACAACTTAGTAAGCACATCCAGGGCAGTGTCTATTTGTTGAAATATGTCAATTGGTATGCCGCCAACTCCTGGACCCTTATTTTTTGCCAATTCTTTCAGAGCAGCTTGAACTTCCTCTTTCATCACCAAAAGCTCTTGCTCATATATCCTTTCACAAAATTCTTCTGTCAGCCTTTTCCTTCTGGTACAGTGACTCTGTGTACTCCTTCCATTTTCTTTTAATGCTTTTTGGATCATTTAATATTCTGCCCAAAGCATCTTTAAGTATTGCCACTCGTGGATTGAATTTGTTTTTCAATTCCTTCAGCTTAAGAAATGCTGAGCAAGTTGGGCCCTTTTGATTTTCTGGCTCCAGCTCTTTGCACATTTCATTATATAAAAAACCTTGCTTTGTCTTTCCAAGCTGCTCTTTGAAATTTTCTGTTCAGCCCTTTATTTTCTTGATTTCTTCCTTTAGCTTTGGTTTCTTGGTGCTCTAATACAATAATCAGAGTCTCATCTGACATCCATCTTGGTCTTTTCTTCTTCTTCTGCCTTTGTAATGATCTTTTGCATTCTTCATGGACGATATTCTTGATATCCTCCACAGCTCATTTGGTCTTCATTCATTGGAGTTCAAGTATGAAACATAAAAAATTCATTCATTAACACAGTACTGAAAATAGGCTGTTGCAGTTATTAGAAGTCTCAAATTATGTGACATTGGATTTGGGAATGATCAGCCAGCAGCAGGAAGGCTTAATGGAGCCTGGAAAGGTGGAGGCATATTTAGTGATAAAGCATTAAGCCAAAACTGTTACAAACAAGACAAATAACTTAATTACTTGCTGTGCTGGCCTAGTGGTAAGAAGATGAACTGCAATCCTAAAAGCACATGGTTTTAATCCACCAGCTGTTCCACGGAAGAAAGATGGGCAATCTCCTCCCATGAGATTAACTGCCTCTGAAAACCCACTGGAGGGTCAGCTATGGGTCAGTTCTGACTTGAAGGTAAATAACAACAAAGGGAATATAAAATATTTGCAGCATAAGTTAATTCTATCAGTTACATTAAACAAGGTACTACAGAAAAAGAAAGATGCTTAGAAAAGAACTGCCCTGTTTCCAAGTACAGTGAGACTTTGTCTCACATATTTGGGGCATTTTATCAGGAGGAGCCAGTTCCTGGATCAGGACATCATGTTTGTTTTTTTTGTTTTTGTTTTTGTTTTTTTTTTTTAGGACATCATGTTTGTAAAAGAAGATCCTTTAAGAGATGGATTGACAGTGGTTAAGCAATAGACTCAAGCAGCAACCGTGAGGATGGGAGAAGACAGTGTTTTGTTCTGTTTCTATAGGATTGCTTGAGTTAAGCTGACTTGAGACATCTGACTTGAAAGGCAGAAACTAAAGCACAGTGCTTTACATCTCTTGTTCAAACTTCTGAATCAATCCAGTAATTCTTTCTTGTGTCCACAATGATACAATAGAAAAGCCTTGGCATGTCTAAAAAAAAAAAAGAGTCCTAGGTTGTAGTGCTGATTGAATCAAATAAAATAGTAGCAGCTTGGACTAAAGGAATCTGACTTCAAGCATAAAACCTTTGGACTCCAACTTTCTTAAGCAGTAAACAGGCTGAGAAACGGTTCAACACCTAAAGATGGCATATTCTCCAATGCTCTTTCCAAATGTGACCAAAGTAGATGACAAAGGAACAAAAATCTCCCCAAAACTGAATCTGAAGATCATGGAGAGTAGTGAAACCAGGGAACTAAGTATTCCACTAGTATCTTCTCTCTGCAGGGGTTGCAACAATGTTTGCCCACCAGGAATTCAGAACTGCTATTCACTAGAAACTGCTCAGAGTCGCACACTTTATACCTATTTTTTAAATGAGACTGTTTGCTATGGATCCTTCCCCCGATCCTATGTTATATGGTGGATGGAGATGGGGGAGCAGATTAGTTTGGTTTTTGTAGTTCAGAGGTCTGTGGTTGCAATGTAGATCACTACAGCAAAATCTTATCCTTTGAGTTTAGAATTGTGTTCAAGATGTTTTCCTTGGGAAAGAAAAAAATTATTTGTGGCTTCTGAATACCTTTGTTGTTGTTGTTAGGAACTGTCAAGTACAACTCATAATGACTCTATGAACAACAGATCTTGAACCATGTTTTATCCTGTACTATCTTCACAATCTCTGACACATTTGGGACCATTGCTGAAGTCAATGTGTCAATCCACCTAGTTGAAGGTCTACGTTTCTTCTGCCGATCTTCCACCTTCCCCCACATGATGTCCCTCTCCAATTGAAAGCCTCTCCTAGCAACATGCCCCAAATATGTGAGATGACATTTTATCATCTTTGCCTCCAAGGAACATTCTGGCTGTATCTTCGCCAAGATATATCTGTTTGGGTTTTGTGGTGGGATTTTTTTGCAGTCTGTGGGATATTCAGCACTCTTCTCCAACGCTACAATTCAAAGGAATTGATTCTTCTTCTGTCATCCTTATTCACTGTTTTGAATTCTTTATTGCAATCACTCAATTATCTGTGATCACACTATAGTTCCCAATTATTACTTCCTTCGACTTTACAGCTTTACTGTTTTATTGTTGTTGTTGGTATACACCAACGAGTCGCTTGCGACTCATAGCAACCCTATGTACAAGAGTCCTAAACGCTGTTCTATCCTGTGCCAACCTGGCTGTCTCAAACACACTTAACCCCACCACTCCACTCACAGAATCAATCCATCTCACAGAGGGTCTTACTCTCCTGCACCGTCCCTCCACTCTCCCAAACATGATGTCCCTCTCCAAGGACCAGTCCCTCCTTGCAACATGCCCAGTGTATGTCAGATGAAGCTTCAGAATCCTTGACTACAAGGAACATTCAGGCTACACCTTCTCCAGGACAAACCTGTTTGTTCTCCTAGCAGTCCATGGTATATTCAACACTCTTCTCCAACACCACACCTCAAAGGCTTCAATTCTCTTTCTATCATCCCTATTCACTATCCAGCTCTCTGACACATAGCAAGCAATTCTGAAGACTATGGCCTGGATCAGATGTACCTTAGTCTCCAAACTGACATTGTTGCTCTTCAGTACTCTTGAGAGGTCCCTCACAGATGACTTTCCCAATGCAATTCATCTCCTGATTTCCTGGCTGCTGTTATCAAGAGTGTTGACTGTGGAACCAAGTAAACTAAAACTCTTAACTATCTCAATCTCTTCACCATCCATACTTATAGGTTGTTGTTGTTGTTGTTATGTGCTGTCGAGTCACTTGCAACTCATAGCGACCCTATGTATAACAGCCCTAAACTCTGCTCTGTCCTGTGCCAATCACACTGTTTCTGACACTCCCATCCTGATTACCCCAGTCACTGAATCAATCCACCTCATAGAGGGCCTTCCTCTCCTGCGCTGTCCCTCCACCCGCCCAAGCATGATGTCCTTCTCCAAGGACCTGTCTCTCCTCACAACATGTCCAAAGTATGTCAGATGAAGCCCCAGAATCCTTGCCTCCAAGGAGCCACCCTGTTTAACCCTTTCCAGGATGAATCTGTTTGTTTTCCTAGCAGTCCATGGTACCCTCAATACTCTTCTCCAGCACCACAGCTCAAAGGCATCAATTCTCCTTCTATCCTCCTTGGTCATTGTCCAACTCTCTGATGCATAACAGGTGATTGTGAAGATCATGGTCTGTATCAGACGCACCTTAAGTGTCCAGAGAGACACCATACTTACAGGACTTCTTTTTTTAAAAAACTTTTTTAAATTATTATTATTTTGTGTGTGTGTGTGTACCGTCAAATAGGATCTGACTGGTACAGGAGGAGATTATCCCTCCTTCTCCAACAGAGAATCTGGTGGATTAGAACCACGTGCCTCTGGGATTGGCAGTGCACCTTCCTGCCACTAGGCCACCAGAGCTCCCTGTTTTATGACTTCTTAATTTTGACCAATAGAACATGGGTAGAAATTTGTTTTAGAATCCATTTCTATTTCAATTGTTCCCCTACCATTAAAAAAAAAAGGAGCTCTGGTGTCCTAGTGGTAAGAAGTTGTACTGCAATCTCAAAGGCACGCGGTTTGCTGCGTGGAGAAGGATACGCAATCGCCTTCCATGAGATTAACTGCCTCTTGAAAACCCACTGGAGGATCAACTACGGGTTGGTTCTGACTCGATGGGACACTGCAATAAAAACAACTATAAAAAATGATACATCTCAGATGATAATTGCTGCTTTACTGGCTCTTTGAATATACAAGCCTCATGGAACTGAAAAGACCTGTAGCATACATGTTACCTGAGCAAACTTGTAGAAGCCATTGCAAGGTACTAGTGAAAAATAGTTTCTGCTTCTTGTTGCTGCAGAACTCTGTGACTGGGAAATAACCGAGATAAAAATTTAAATGTGGCACATATAAACAAAAGTCCCTGTGGGAAGTCCAAATGGTGTGGTCTCCACTATTAACCAAGGTTAGTGGTTCAAACCCACCTGGTGGTGCTGGAGAAGAAAGGCCCAGTATCTGCTTTCTTATGGTTTAGAGCCCCAAACCCCCAAAGCACAGTTCTACCTGGTAACACACAAGAAACTATGAGAATCAACTTGATGGCAATGGGCTTGTTTTCCTTTTTTTTTTCCCTACTAGAGTGAATGCTGCCAGAAATTTAGTTCTTATGTATTCAACTTACCTCTGAGACACTAAGTTCACACAGGGAGACAGACTCAATACCAGGTAATTCAACCATCAATTCCATTTTTACAGGCTTTTCATTCAGATCCTTGACAATTTTTAATTCATAGTTTGGTGTCTTCTTTTCTACCTGGAACTCAGTACTGCAAATCTCCTCAATCAGACATCGTGTTTTGCCTGAGATTTGAGTCTTTGGAAGTTTAAGCTGAGGTAAGCAATCAGGACTGTTCACAGAACTATTTATCTGTTCAAGGGTAAGTTCTTCACAAGAAGGAAGGAAAAAAGAGAGGCAGTAAAACTTACAAATCAATCAACATAAAACATAAGTCAGCTATGAATGATAACATATGTAATGTTGGCCAGCTATAAAATGTAAATGCTACTGTTTTAAGAATATACCCAGCATAACACACATAAATTCAATAGTCTGTTTGTATAATTCATGACATTACTTTGTTCCAGTGGTATGACAGTCCTTACCCTTCTTTCCTGAGTTGTTTTTCCTTCATAAATTCACTGCCCCTTAAGTTTCCTACACAATCTTTCTTGTTGCTGTTGTCAGTTTGATGCCATATAGACAGATCTTTAATGAGTACAATTACCAAGGCAGACATTCTTATTAGTTAAGCTATTGTTTTGTTTTAAGAAGATTATTTTTGGCTTAAAGATTATCTCAGGATAAGTTTTAACGGTTTATCTAGCCTCCATGGCTTCAGAAAATTTGGATTCCATGAGAATTTGAAATTCTGTATTTTCCTCCTTTTGGCTGGAATCCTATTATAGATTCTTTGACCAAAATGTTCAGTAATGATAGCGAGGCACTATACAGTTGTTCTGGTCTCATGGCAAAAGAGGAAGTTGCCTATGGAGATAATTAACTACACATTTCCTATCTTTCTTCCTTTGTTGTGCCAGGTGAATCAACTGGGCCTAGGATGGCTTCCTGTCTTGCTTGCAAGACCCCAGACAATGCACGTCTGAAGACAGAACAAAACACTAAACACATTATTTAAAATAATTACCCAGACTGTTCCATAAAACTATCAAACTGACCATCCAAACCACAGGACCAAATTCCATGGAATTGTAAGTTGTATGTAGAGCAACCTCAGCAGCTCCTCTTTTCTCTCTCCTCCCAGTTCTTCTGTTATTGTAAATATATCACATAATCTTTTTTCTTTATTTCAGTAGAAGTACAAACCATATTGATTTCTCATATATTCATTCATAGCCATTTTGGTTTAGAACATTAATTACCACTTAATAATGTGATTAATGACAACATATAATCAACCCCTTATTCACACAAGTTTTGCTAATTCAAGAGTTTTCTTTTAATTACAGCTTCAAATAAAGCTAGTTGTTGGTTTGGGGTTTAACCATTGTACAACTTGTTGACAGCAATTCCTTTATTGGCTATGCAACTCTATCTGTAATTAAGGTAATTATTCTACCACTATAAATCAAAACTCATTACTTCATAAATGTTTGGGAATCTTAAGGCAAAGAATCTTAAAATGAGAATTTAGCTTAGAAGTCTGCAGGAGGTTTCTATTATTTCAAGTACCTGGTCTTCATATTTTTCTAACAAATTTCTCATCTTCTACTAAAAGAGTGGCTTCCAGCTTTCAAATGTACACAGAATCGAAAAAAAAAAATCTTAAATAAGTTTCCTTTTTAAAAAATTTCCTTTTACATCCATCAACCTACCCCTTTTCTCTGTGAAATCTGTGGCGTCAGTGTGAATTCCCATCAAATTCTGTTTCATCCCTAAAAAGCTTCCTTTTATTTTATGCTCTATAATATTGTAGGAAAATGAAAGAGTGAATTGGAATCGTTCCTCAATGCATTTCATAGCCATCCGTATCAACTGATCCTTTTTAATTTGGTCCTTGTCTGCTGCCTGGAGAATATCAGGATGGTAGGCAACATTGATGACTGTGTAAACATCTGTAGGTGTAGTTCAGAAGAAATGAATGAAGATAACATCACCTAGGTCACTAATGCTATTGTCAGGTAACATATTACACAGTAATCCTTACAAAGCTCCAACAAAAAATGAAAAACCAGTTTATAGCACCTTCTACAGTTAGAAAATATAAATTTTACCCCAGTATTTTTCCAAAGATAGTTAGAGCGGTGCTATAGACACAAAGTACGAAACTAGTCCATTTTAAATGGCTCATATTGTTAGAAAGATTTAAGTCTTCACTAATTTGCCATGCCATCATGAAATAAAATCTTACACTTAAAATGTCTTTTACCAAGTAAAATTTTATTTATGCCAATTCACAATAAAAATTTTAAAATATGCTTTCTCTCTTCTCATTTTATGTACCTGAGGTCTCAGAAATATCTTCTGGTCTGCCAACACTGATAGGTACTGGGTGAATGGCTGACTGTGGAGCCGGGATCCTTTTCCACTGACAGAAGTTAATGAAAACTGTTTTTTCTCTTGGTTTCTACAAAACAAACAAATTTTCATACATCAAAAACTATTTCAAAATATTTAAAAGTAAAGGCAACTCATTATAGCATGGAAAGGGAAGGAGAAGTTTAGGCTCCAAGTAGGACATTCTACATATTGAAATTATTTTTTAAAATTATTATTATTCAAGTTGTTTTAAAGAAATTCCCCTCCTCCTTGATTTTTTCCAAAGCTGCCATCTTTTGATCAAGAACTTGGTTACTCTAGAGAAAATGAGAACTGAGGCACAAATGTACAGAAGAATGCCATAGGCAGAATATTTAATGATCCAGGAACTATTAAAAGAAGATGGAAGGAATATACAGAGTCAATGTACCAAAAAGAATTGGCTGACACAGAAGAATTTAAAGAAACAAGATCAAGAGGCAATAGTGATGAAGGAGAAAGTGCAAGCTCCTCTGAAGGACTTGGCAGAAAATAACGCCCTAGGAATTTACAGAATGCCAATTGACATCTTTCAGTTGATGTGCTCACCAGGTTATGCAAAGAAATCTGGAAGACAACTATCTAGTTAACTGACTGAAAGAGATTAATATTTATTTCTATCCCCAAAACAGGCAACCCGACAGAGTGTGGAAATTATCAAACAATACGACTAGTAGAGAGCTGTATTTGTTCCCATTCCAAAGAAAGGTTACCCGACAGTGTGCAGACATTATCCACCAATATCACTGCTATCACATGTAAACAAGATTCTGTTGAAGATTATCCATCCAAAAACACATCAATAGACAACTGTCTGAAGTGCAGGCTGGGATTAGAAGAGGCCATGATACTAGGGATATTATCACTAATGCCAGATGGATCTTGGCTGAGAGCAGAAAGTACCAGAAGAATATCTGTGTTCCCTTGACTACGCAAAGGTTTCTGACTGTGTGGATCACAACAAACTGTGGCTGACTCTGAGAAGGATGGGAATCCCAGAACGCTAGCTTGTGCTTACGCGAAGCCTATACTTGGACCAGGAAGCAGTCGTCAGAACAGAGCAAGGAAACACTGCATGGTTTAAAACTGGGAAGGGTGTACGCCAAGGATGTGTCCTATCCTCCATACTTTTTTAATCTATAAGCAGAACATATTATCCAGGAGGCTGGGCTCTATGAGGAGAAATGTGGCATCAGGATTAAAGGTAGACTCATCAACAATCTGTGCTATGCAGATCACACAACCCTGCTCGCTGAAACTGAGGAGGACCTGAAGTACTTGCTGCAGAAGGTCAAGGACTGCGGCCTTCAATATGGATTAAAGCTCAATATCAAGACAAAGATTTTCACCATTGGGACAACTGGCAGCACCATGATAGATGGAGAAGAAATTGAGGTTGTTAACAACACTCTCAGCACCAGCAGTCAGGAAATCAAAAGACGAATTGCACTGGGAAAATTAGCCTTCAGGGACCTCTCTATAGAGTGCTGAAAAGCGACAATATCAGCCTAGAGACTAAGGTGTGCCTGATGCAGGTCATAGTGTCCACGATTACTTGCTATGCATCAGAGAGCTAGACAATGACTAAGGATGAAAGAACAATTGATGCCTTTGAATTTTGTGGTGCTGGAGACGAGTCTTGAACATACCATGGACTGCCAAGAAAACAATATAGGTCTGTCTTGGAAAGAGTGGAACCAAGTTTCTCCTTGGAGGTTAGGATTTTGAAGCTCTGTTCTCACATACCTCACATACTTTGGGAATATGGCCAGGAGGGACTGGTCGACCCTTAGAGAACATTATGCTTGGATGGGTGGAGGAACAGCACAAGAGAGGAAGACCGCAGATGAGAGGGACTAATACAGTAATTAGGGCAATGGAAGTACGTGTGTTGCAGTCTATGAGACTGGTTTAGGACAGGCCAGGCTTCAGGAATGCTGAGTTACAGGTGACTTGACAGCACATACCAACAACAACAACAAAAACATATATGTATGTATATATATCTACTTTCTAAACAACATGACTCCAGGATCTCTGTGAACTTTGATCTATGAACTTTGATAAATGTTGATAGTTAAAGAAAGACTTCAGGCCTCTCTTGTTTATAGGGTTGCTACTCAAAGGCAATAAACAACAACAACATGTGTATATATGTATATATGTATCCTTCTGAAAAACGGACTTGCAGGCATGGCAGGTTTCATGATGGCTTGCTCACCCAAAGGGTAGTGGTTAAAATCCACTAGCTGCTCTCAGAGGGTAAAAAATGAAGAAGTCTGCTCCCATTAAGATTACAGCCCTGGAAACTGTGAGATGGCTCACTGTAGAATGGCATTGGGTTTGGTTTTTCAGTACCCTCCGAAAAAATCCCTGGTTGTGCAATGGGCTAAGAGTTGGGTTTATAAGTTGGAATTGACTGTATAACTGGTCTTGGTTCTCTCTGAAGGGGGTCCTGGAGGCACAGTGGATTAAGCATTAGAATGCTAACTGGAAGTTTGGTGGCGTGAACCCTCTAGCTGCTTCTCAAGAGAAGTATGAGGTAGTTCGCTTTGGTAAATATAGTCTTGGAACCCTCTCTAGGAGACAGTTTGACACCACTCTATGTCGGTTTGCTATGAGGCAAAATTAACTTGAAAGCAAGTTCATTTTGGGGTTTTTCTCTTGTCACCTTCATTAGCCAAATAACTTATCTTTATTTGAAACAGCTCCAATTAATTCTCTAGAAAATCTTTACATTGTTTCTCTTCATTCTAGCAGAAAAAAAAGTTCACTCTGAGACTGTTAAAATATATTAAGTATGCGGGGAGTTCTGGTGGCCTAGTGGCAAGGAGCTGCAACTACAATCCCAGAGGTGCACGGTTCAAATCCACCAGATGCTCTGCCGGGGAAGGAGGGACAATCTTCTCCTGTACCAGTCAGATCTGATTTGACCGTACACTCACACAAAAATAATAAAATTAAAAAAAATATATTAAGTATGAATTTTCCTACATTTCTCTCGTCAACTCCCATACTATTTTCATTTTCTATTTAGAGTGCATTTTCTGGCATTAAAGTGGCAATAGCTAAGATAAAGCTATTTTCTCGTTATTCTAGGGGCATTTGATTAAAGACTTTCCCATCCCTGGCTTCAAGTCTACACACCAGAATCTTGGTCTCTAGACAGAACTGTGGCTCAGGGGCAGAACAGAACTGTTTTCCCTCTTTCAGCTGCTGCTGAATGAACTTCTCATAGCGCTCAGGATCATTTTCAGCCAGGTCATCTAAGAGGTTCCAGAACTGAGTAACTTGTGTGAGAAGACCCTTTGATGATATTTCCATGTTTGACGGCAGAAAACAGGCTTCTTAAACCTATGAAAAGATAGGACATAAAGAGGAAAAAGAGTCTAAGGTTATTGATTAATTTCTTCTTTTGGGGAATGGTATTGTTTTGGTGAATCTTAACACCTGTGTCTCAAAGATTATGAATCAGCACCATTATATTTTTGTTATTCTCTAAATATCTAGCACTTTAAAAAAATGTTCAAGCTGTTCTCTTAAATAAGGCCTTGCCTTTCCCTAAAACCTCAAGGACAAAAACAAAACAAAACAAAACCCCAAAACAAACAAACAATCTGCAAGGGCACAAAGCAAAGCAGTCTCTTTAGGCTAGTTTTCTTGATACCTGGTTATTAACTAAGGCCTTCTCAATCCTGAAAATACCGAAAGGTGTGGGTTGGTCAAGGTTCATTTGAGATTTCTTCAAGCCTTATTATAGTTTAATAGTTAGAAGTATGGACTTTGGTGTCAAATACTTATCTTCTAATCTCAGTTCCATCACCATGTGGCCTTGATTAATGAAATAATCTATGTGCCTAGGTGTATTTCCTTGAAAAGGAAAAACATCTCTCTCATAGAATTATTACGATAATTATTGACCATAAACTAAGAGGAAACTCTGGTGGCTTCGTGGATAGGGAGTTGTGCTACCAAATGTGGTCAGCTCCACTAGCTACGGAAGAAAGATAGGCAGTATCTTCCTGTCTATTTACAGCCTTAGAAAAGGCGCCTGGAGGGTCAGTTATGAGTCAGTTCTGACTCGACGGCAAAGAGTTTTGAGTTTTTTAAGAGATCAAAGCCCTTGGTAAGCACTACACGAGAAGACTAACAGCCTCTGAATGCCTTGAGAAGACAAGACTCCTGGTTTAGAGGTTTAAAAAAATTGACTACTAACCAAAAGATTGTCCCACGGGGAAAAGACGAGGCCGTGTGCTCGCGGAAGGATTTATGGCCTATGGCAACCTTGTGTGCAGCTCACTCTGGTCTACTGTCAATAAGAATCCACTTGATGGCAGGAGCTTTCAGGACTTGGGGCGCTCCCCTTCCTTTTTTTCTTGCACCCAGCTCCACACCTTTCACTCCGAATGAAGAAAAAGGGAGGTGGATTCTTCGAATAGTGCACTCTATCACGGTTAGGCTAAATAACAATTTTACTACGGTCTTGAGATCTGGGAAGCCACATTTCAGCTCCGTTCCTTAACAAACCGCTATGCCAGTTACCAGGGTAACGACCTAGGGCCACACTTAATTGAGTCCGGAAAGCTTCAATTCGAAGTTCTCGTTATATTCAGTTCCGGGATTTTCCTTTTCCGGTGCTGGGCTCACTTTTCAGCTGGGTCCCGCTCACTTATTTTCGAGGAAAGCGCCGGCCTCACTTCTGCACGGGTCGGTGTCTGAAGCGTCTCGGTTTTGAGAGACCCTGGGTGCCTGTCGTTGGGAAGAATTTCTCGGAAGCACGACTTCCGGTCCGAAAGGGAAGCCGTCTCCTTTTGCGCTTAGATCGCTTCCTCCCCCCAACCCCGCCACGCGAGGCTGCGGCGCACGGTATGGGTGTGTTTGTGTGTGTTTGTTTGGGGAGGGCGTTTGGAGGGAAGGTAACCGGGAACTCCGAGGCCTCACAGAGGCGGGGATCCCGATGACAAAGATGGGGGGTTCTTCTCTGTCTTCCACTGGGAGATCTCAACTCCCCCTTCAGATACCGTAAACACAGTCTGGGGCCCAGCGGAAAAGGTCGTGCGGATCCCATCCCTTTCTGGGGAGTGAAACCCAACCCCTGGGGTCCATCCCAGCGGAGCCTGAGCGGGGAATGCCCCGGGTGACGTGGCCGTCGGCATTCTGCACCGGCGCAGCCTCCGGCTTCAGCCCTGGAGGGAGATCTGCCCTGTGCCCTTCGTTCAGGGCAGGGGGAAAGGCGGCCGTGGCGTGGGCTACGGGTGAGGGCAGAATAACCGGTGGGAAGGCTGCGTTTTCACGAAGGACTCGGGTGAAGCTGCAGAGCTGCCTTTGAGCCCTGACTCCTTGGCTTCCTGGGTCGGAGGAGATCTTGTTATGGAGTGATTCTTCGTCTCACACTAACAGGATGCCTGATTTCCTCAGGATCGAGGGGTGAGTGAGCGGTGGGGTGGTTGCACAAATCTCCTAACTACATACGCGAACACTTGTTGCCAACTAGTTTTTAGAGACTTCTCTACAAATTAGCAAAATGGAAGTACCATGGGTAGAGCAATTTAGCTTATCTTTGTATTTCATATTTTTTTAGGCTTTAGTTTGTTTTACAGTTGACATTTATGGTCACTGACACTCTTTGAGACGTAGGTATTTGCATCATCACGAACTAATTTCCCAACTTGAGAGTTATTTTATAATCTAAGCATTTATTTACCTTGTTTGCCTGTATCTGTGGCCTGGGAAAAGTATGACTCTAAGGGAACCTCGTTTGCAAAATAGAGGTGAAGATGCTTCCCTTCTGTAAAACCAAGTTCTGAGCATTAAATCGAAGTGCCTAATTTTGTGCAGTTTTCACAGGCAGGAAGCTTTGGGGGGCCTAATAGGTAAATAATTATTCTGTCAGCACAATAAAATCTACCTGCTGCTCTGTGGTTGAATGATGGGCAGTCTCTCCCTGTGCATTTTATAGCCTCTGAAAACCCCCTTGAGGGTCAATGGTGACTTGAATCATGCAATTTCAAAGCTTTTTAATTTAAACACTTTTCATCCTCACATTAGTGTGGTTAGCCTTTTTTAAATGGTGAAGAAAAAAATTATTCCTTAGGGCATCTGTCTGATTCTTAGTCCAGTGATCTTCATTTACCTTATACTTCTTTATAACATTTCAAAAATAATTGAGAAAATAAAATAATAAAGGGAAATTATTATTATCTTATTGGATGTTACTGATTCATTTCAGGTTGAAGAATGTCCCGGATTCCACTGGGTAAAGTCCTCCTGAGGAACGTCATTCGACACACAGATGCCCACAACAAGGTGAGAGTTTCACCCCTCAGTCCTTCCTCTGACTCAGGGCATACCAATGTGTCAGACAGTATTTTGGGATAGTTGGGAGATACAAATATAATTAAAGTAGGTAAGTTACAATCTGATAAATACTATGATAAAACTCAAACTCATTGCTTTTGAGTCAGAATCAATGTGTTTCTGAGATTATAAATTGCAATGGAGGCTAGTGTTCATCTTTATCCTGAGGAGCAGTTGGTGGATTCAAACCTCCAGAGAAGTTTCACTGTGTAACTCCTTGTAGACTGTGCCACTCTAGAGTTCGAGTACTATAAAGGAGATGTACAGAATGCTGTAGAACACTTAGGAAGAAGTTGTGAAGTCTGCCAGAGTTACCCAGAAAAGGTTTTAGAGGAGATAGTATCTAAGCTGCTGGTATTTGAACTTCATCTTGACTGGGTACAAAGATAGCATATATAAAAGAGCATCCTGGTATGGATTTTTCTACAAATGTTTTTATGAGCTGTATGTATGTTCACATGCACAATAAGCACATTGAGGGGGCTTGAGGATATATTGACAGCTGTGTAGATAGCCCATGTTCCCAGCATGCTAAGGGGCACTGGCTCTTAACTGATTTGAATGAGGAGCCAATATGGGCACCACTTTCAAGTGATGCCTGATCTCATCAATCTAGCAGGAGAGAAGAGATAACTTGTTGGATAGTATAGTATCACCAGGACATCGCTGAAAAAGAATATAAAAATTGCCGAAAATTACTTCTAGCAAAGGGCTGTCTGCAAAGCTTCGGTTTTAACCTTTAGAAGAGAGTCAGCTCTGGAAAACATCCTAACTTCTTTGATTGGATATGCATATAATGTGTTAGAAGATGATAGGAGATTAAGGAAAACCCAGTTGCTTAAACAGAAACAAGTGTCTTAATCAGATTCTCTGAGTAAAATAGTTTAATTGTTCATATCAAAAGCTGTAAACTTTTTATTATTTTTTGTGTATGTACCGTCAAATCGGATCTGATTAGTACAGGAGGTGATTGCCCCTCCTTTTCCAGGAGAGCATCTGGTGGATTTGAACCGCGTACCTCTGGGATTGCAGTGCAGTTTCTTGCCACGAGGCCACCAGAGCTCCCTAAAAGCTGTAAACTCTTTAAAAAATGAAATTGTATGATGCTTAAAAAAAAAAAAGATAGTAAGTACATAGAGAACAAAGCTATGGAAACTTTTTAGATATAACCAAACACCTTATGGGACTGAACGCCCAAGCCTGAAAACTAAAGACTCTTTTCCTGGGAGAAATAAAGGTCAATTGGTGTAATGAAGAATGTACATACAGCATTCTACATCTTAGATTGGTGACTGATGTCTAGAATATTGGAAACTTAATGAGGAACCATAAAAAATGTAGCTTTTGGTTTCTTCCCACTCTAAGTAAGTGAGAATAAAATAAACCAAAGTCTTTAGGGGAAGCAGTTAATCTAGAGAACTAGTGGTGCCCTAGATATACCATTGAGTACCTGATCAAGGACCTAATTGAAATGTAAGAATGGGCAGAAAATGTAGAACAAAAGTCAGATTCCTAAAAAGACCAGAATTACTGGCTTATTAGAGACTAGAGAAACTCCCAAGACTATGGCCTTAAGTTACTCTTTCAAATAGGGAACTGAAGCCACTTCTCAACCAAATAATAGACTGCTTTATGCAATAATAACATCTATGAGAAAGTACTTTTAGAACAACCAACTGTATGACACCAAAGGGCCAACACTTACCTTAACAACAATGAGAAGGCAGGAAAAGTGGACTGTTGGAGCTGCAGAGCCCACGGTATAAGTGAGGAGAGTGTTGACATTTCAGGGATCACAACCAGTGCCACCGGACAATTTGTGGATGAGTTATTGAATGGAAAAGTAGTTTGCTATGTAAACGTTCACCTAGAAAACAGTGTGTGTGTGTGTGTGTATTTTTTTTTTTAAAGATCCTAAATAGAGGGAACGTCATATAATAAAATGGCCACAGGAAAGAACATAAAGCATATGGAGCATAGCAGGAAATTCTGTGCATCTGGAAAATAGGGAAGTGTGTGGGTAATGGTACAAGATGAGTTGAGTTATATATTAGAGATTTCTTCTTAAGGATTGGTAGATTGGACTATGTCTAAAATGGAGAGAATGGATCATTAAGGCACAGACAGGGTCCTGAGTATCTCTCTGAAAGGGCCAGAGGGAATGAGACTAACATAGCCCAGAGCACCCCAGAGCAGAAAGCAGACAAAGAGTCTGTAGCCCATCCCCATGATGCCTGTAGAGCCCCACCAACAGCAAGGATTCTTTTATTCGTTGTTGACTCAAAGACAGTTACAGTACCAACAAGGGAGTTTATTAGGGATGGAAATTGGAGAATGGGGGAGGCAAAGAATATCACAATATCACCCAAAATAACTCCAGGTTTTAGCCCAAGAGTTCCAAGGCACAGTTCCTCAGTCCACGCTCTGGTTTCAATTCAGCAAGCTGCTTTTCCTTCCATCATCAAAGGCAAGAGCAGCAGACTCCCTTTAACTGTAGCCAGCACAAATGCAAGAAGTCTCAGGTCACACCTTGCTACAGTTTTTCTATAGCAGTGCCAATCTCTTGACCACCAGGGTCTTACCTCCATAAGTGTTGCTCACCTCAAGTCTTGCTGCTCAGGGTGGGAAGCACTCCTTCATTTATCCTCGTTCCACAGCTAATGCAGGTAAGGTAGCTGGAGACCAGCGGCTGGTGGCTAATAAAAACCAACTTTTAGTCTAACACCACGTACTTTTTCATGTACGGCATAAAAAAGAGACATCATATATTTGAATCAGTAGTTGGAAAACATGGACTTGGTGACAGAAATAAAGCTGGAGATAGAATGATTGACTTTTGCACAATGACTTATTCATTGCAAATACGTCTTTTAAGAGACATAAACGTAGATTATACACATGGATTTCACCTGATGGTATGCATAGGAATCAGATCGATTACATCTGTGGAAAAAACCGCTGGAGAAGCTCA